GGATGTGGTAAAACCAATTTGCTAATGAATTTACTATTGGATAAATTTGAAGGAGATGATTATTTAGACTATGACAACTTGTATATATTTTCAACTACACTTTTTCAGCCCTGTTACCAAGCACTTATAAATGGTTTTGAAAATGGATTGAGTAAAAAAGATATTAGAGAATGCTTTAAGAATCAGAATTTTATGGTTGAGAAAAAAGATAAACAAGAAATAACTATTCACACTTCAGATAGTTTAGATGATATTCCTGATCCAAGTTCTATTGATCTAATAAAAAGACTTTAATAATATTTGATGATTTAATGTTGGAGAAACAAAATAAAATAGAACAGTACTACACTAGAGGTAGACATAATAACATTGATTGTTTTTACATTTCTCAAAGCTATATTAAACTTCCTAAGAATACTATCAGAGAGAACGCTAATTTTTTTATAGTGTTTCCTCAGGACAAGTTGAATTTGGATTATATTTATAGAGATCATTGTAGTGAATTAGATAAACCTAAGTTTTTAGAAATGGTTACTGAGATTTGGAAAGAGAAATATTCTTTTTTGATTATTGATAAGACTAGTGAAGCAGATAGTGGTAAATTTAGAAAGATGCTCAAGTATTTTTATATTTTTTGACTGTCTATTTTTGGGCTATACTTTTTATTTTTCATGTTTATTTTTCTGGACTCTTTTATTATTCCGTATTTCCGTATTTCCGTATTTCCGTATTTCCGTATTTCCGTATTTCCGTATTTCCGTATTTCCGTATTTCCGTTTTTCCGTTTTTCCGTTTTAGTATGTAATACGGAATAATAAAAGAGTCCAGAAAAAAAAAGGTCAGAAAGAAAGGAGATCGTAAAAACGGAAAAACGGAAAAAACGAAAAATAAAGTATTAGGTTGGCGGGAAAGTCTTTGTCACTCTGTTTGTTTAATCACTGTTCTCGTATATGGAGGCTGTGTATGATATCGACTCTAGTGAATAACAAGGTGATAAGAACCTTCCATATAAACAAGTCCCCATCTCCTTCCCTGCTCGTCATCTGTA